TGGTTTTCTTCTTTATATTATTTTATTGCACAATTTTTTTATCGAATTTAAAAAAATTAGATAATGAAAAATGCACCAATTGAAGTTGAAAAGGAAGTTTTACCTGTAGATATTGAAATTGCATAAGCTGAAAATGTCTGATTTCAGATTTTTCTTGTTTGATTTAAGATACTCAAAGATAAGAATCTAATTGTTCATAAATACATTAGTTGACCATTTATGGGAAAATATTCTAATACTCGTTAACAAAAAAAAATACGGTATTTTATATATTTTTTTATGATTTCTTGTTATTTTTAATAATAAATGTTTAATTGAAATCGAATATATTATTATGAAAGTTTTGTAAACAAAAAAAAACAGTTTGATTAATTGTTAAATTTTTAGAAGTTGAAGGTATTACCAATGATTATTAACTAAATAAAAACAATCATTTGGAAATTTTCATTTTGGAGTAAAAAATGGAGTAATAAATTGGAATAAATGAAATTCCATTTTGAAGTTACACCATTTTAGAGTAAAAACTAGATACAGACCCGCGCGGATATCATTTGGATAAGGGAAGTTTACTAGAATGACACAAATTTATTGTATAATTACTAGAATGACTCTTATTTTTCACCATTTTTTGAATATTTTTCTGGTCAAAAATGCCATGGACATAGTTATAACAAAAAAGTTTACCAGAGTGCCCTCGACTACCGACTTATTTTAGAAAACAAATCTACCGGATAATAAATCTATTTATAAAATCTGAGAGAAAAAACAAATCTACCAATAAAGTGGTGGCAAACTTTCTTATAACCAATATATTTGTTGGCACGGCAGATTTAATTGTCCGATTTGGTTATAAAAACCGATTTTAAGAATATATCTGTCTAATGATGTAGCAGATTTGTTAGAGGTGATAGATTTATATGTTTGACTTATTTCATACATCAGATTTATATAGTCGATTTTAAATTTCTGGCAGACTTTTTATTTATGAAGTAGCAGACTTGTTAAATTTACGTTGTGGCAGTTTTTTGGCGAAATCTGGGTTTATGTAAACCAATTCCAATTTCGAGCTCGTTAACATTAATTCCGATATTGGTTTATTTTTAGGTTAATCAAACTCTGAGTTAGGCATCTCTTTGCCAGTTGTCGTCATCTCTTTTATTCTTCTTTTCTTTCTTTTCAAGTTGTCTTTTTCATGGTTGTTTAATCACTTGTTACGTTCTTATTGCTTGAAGAAACATGGATCACATCATTCTTGTCTGCGGAAAGTGGAAATTTGAAAGAAAAAAGTGGTTATTCAAAGTGGATATGAACAAGGTACTAAATTACTTACAGCGAATGAGGAGAGTAGATATGATGATTTTGTGAAAATCATATATGAGAATTACGGAGTTGATTTCACAGAACACGAGTTGGAGCTAGTGTACCTTCTGCCGAAACGTAAGCTGGTCAAAGAAAATCTCGATACCCCTCCTGTGAAAGTAAGGAATGATACACAGCTTCATGGATTTTTGTGTCTTCACAAAGTTGAAAACGTTAGACTCTAGTGTAGAGTTTAAAGTGAAGAAAAACGATGTTGAAAAAGCCAGCGAAGAACCGGAAGAAGCCCTGCAAAACGATGATCCCTTATCTACAAACGATGAAGAAGATACGGATGAAGACAATGATCGTTTTGATTACTGCGACGATTCTGATGGCACAACGTCTGAAGACGAAAACTTTACGTCATATGGGGTTCCGCCAGACCAAGTAGAAGAGGCTGAAAAATCTCCAACAAAGCCTTCATACGCCACAGTCCTAAAGACACAGAAAGAAGATTGTACGCATAATAGGTTCGACTTGAGCTGTTTCAAAATGAACGTGGGGCAGAGTTTTGATTCAAAAGCTGCACTACAAACACGTCTGAAGGTTTATTCAGTTGTCCACCATTTCGATTTTGATGTGGATAAATCTACGCCTACACTGTGGTTTGTAAAATGTTGGGTAAAAGGCTGTACGTGGAAGCTTAGAGCTTCACCAGCAGGTGAATCTTCTAAGTTTACAATCCGAGTACATGTAGCTGAACATTCCTGCTCCGTAATAGAACGTTCAGCTCGTTCTCGACAAGCTACTCCTGAAATTCTTGGCCTATTGTACAAAGACTATATTGGTGGGGTTGAACCAACTGTGTTGCCACATCATGTTATTATTGCTACGAACACGAGCTTCCAAATCAAGGTTAGTTGACTACATTTTTAACAACGATTATACTGTCTAATCTGATCTTACTTGCTTTTAACTTGGTTGATATTTATTATCTTTCGCACATGGATTATTGGAAAGCTCATCGTACACTTATAGTTGCTAGAGATCTAGTAATGGGTTCATCGGAGAGTGGATACGAGCTATTACCTTCTTATCTGCAGAGGCTTCGAATGGCAAATCCTGGGACTTTAGCTCGACTGGACGTTGATGCAAACAATAGATTTAAGTACTTATTCCTTGTATTCAACGCTAGCATTACTGGCTTCCCATTTACGAGGAAGGTTGTGGTGGTTGATGGTACTTTCTTGCAAGGAAAATACAAAGGAACACTTCTCATTGCAACATCACATGATGATAATTTTCAAATATTTCCGATAGCATTTGCGGTGGTTGACACAGAGAATGATGAATCATGGACATGGTTTTTCCACCAACTCAGTTGTGTGATACCCGATGATGAAGTATTGGCGTTAATTTCTGATAGGCACAAGTCAATAAAATATGATGATGACACGTTGGTTTGCAACAAGAAAATATGATGCTGACTTGATGAAAACTTCTCTGGCTCGTGGTGTGGAGAAGTTGTTGGAGGTAATATATGTATGCTTATGTTTTGCGTTTTGGTAGAAGTTGTTGGAGGTAATATATGTATGCTTATGTTTTGCGTTTTGTTATTCTAGGGCCGTATACCTATTTCAAATCTCTTAAAGGTTCAAGCTATAGATAAGCATCAGTCACAAGTGCTAGGAGTCTCATCTCTACATGTTGTAAACCTTACCAAAAAAACATGTTTCTGCCGTAGATTTGATTTGGAGAAGCTACCATGTGCTCATGCTATAGCTGCTGCGGATGCTAGAAAGATATCATGTATATCACTCTGTCACAAGTACTATCGGACGCAGTATCTATACAATGCATATTTAACTCCTGTTATGCCAAATGATGATGCTGTTCCAATTCCAGAAAAAGTTGCCAAGCAAATCTGTTTACCACCTGATGTTCGCCAACCACCGGGAAGACCAAAAAAATCAAGACATAAATCTATTTTGGAGAAAGTTGCAGATAAGAAGCGGCCAAGAAAGGAACACTCATGTAGAATTTGTAACCAGGTGGGACACAATTCTACAACATGTCCTCTTAAGGGATGAGTATTCGATTTAGTTTGAGGATTTGGTCATTATACTTCAGTTTGATTGGTGCTACATTTGTTGGTATACTTATTTTCAGTTTCATTACATTTTCAAGTCACGATTTACAGTTTCGATTTACCATTTGTTGGTAAAGGTTCTGAAAAACAGAAACTTATGTTATACATCTGATACATCTGAATTCTTTGTAAAACCTGCATAACTAAACATTTACCATTTGTTGCAAAACCTGCATAATCAAACATTTATCATTCATAAGCCAAAAACCATCAAGTTAATACATCCGTCTAAAGCTCCAGCAAGTTAATACATTCGTCTTAAAGCAAAAAAACAGCAACTTATACATCCGTCTAAAGCCAAAAAACCATCAAGTTAAACATAAAACTAATTTACTTGGCTGTTGTCACCTCCTCATACATATCAGCCGCCAACTTCCAACGCAATTGTGTTATAATCTGATCATTGAAGCCCTCAAAGTTACGTCCAAGAGCTAGACATTCGATGTACATCAAAGAGTACACACCGCAATCCCCCGGATTCTCATTTTGAGGGATCTTCTTGTGCCTAATATAACTGAACTGTTTAGCACTTTTCCTGCTCGTTTCAGCAGGAAGCATCTTGTTAAGAACTGCAGGTAACATTCTCATGAAAGGCCGACACGCCTCTTTCATTTCCTTATCACTCAAATGAGTGCAAATACTATCATCGACATGGATTTTCTCCTTCTTCAGATCGATTTGTAGAGAAACCCAGTGGTCTCCGTGAACATGGTGGCAGAGGAAAAGATCATCGACGTCAACAATCCTCTTCTTACCCGTGACAAAATCAGCCGGGTGTTCTCCATTAAAAACCTTGCTGTACTTTTCTGACAACTCATTCATTTTCTGGTCCCAGTTCTTGTAGTCGTTCATCCATGAATTCACAAACCAGTGAGACAAGAATGCAATCCGATCAGAGGAATACGGAGACTGTTCTTGCCTGGACCGTCTATGAAACATAAGCATTCATGCTTCAATATGCTAAGACATGAAAAAATTCATAGTCAGCAACCGACCGTAGTTTAATATTTTGTCAAGAAAAAGCAGAAATTAAACTTACAAGGTCTTGCAACCAGCTGTATGATTTTGTTGGCCAATCATCTCTAGGTATTATTAACTTCAAGAAAAACCCAGCGCTTGCATCTCCAAAACCAGGCTCCTTTGCTTCCCTAGAAAGAAGAAAAATTTATTATTAGACTATGTCGAAATAAGAAGCAAGGATGTACGATATGAAACTTACAAATCTGATTTGATGAAGTCCAAAACTTTCTTCAGTTTCTCTGCCTCCACCTTAGCTAATGGGTCATAAGGTTCCTTCGAGTCTTTATCACCAGTTATAATACGCTTCACTGCTGAATTTCCAACATACGGCCAAACTTGAGTCTTTGTCAACTGAGGCTTGCGTCTACGTGTAGGCTCCTCCAAATTTGAAACAAGTGCTGCCAACACTGTCCTACAGTTTACACTCTTTTCCCACAGTGAATGATGTTCACAATCTTCTGACGATATGGATTCATCATTTAGTTGTGGGATCTTGACGGCTTTCTCTTGCTTCACTCTTCTTAGTGGAATTTCAGCTTTCTTCTGTCTTTTCCACCTCCTTGTTTGAAAGATTCTGGCTGCTATCCATTTTCTTCTTAGCTTTTTTCTCTTTCTTCACACCACAATCAACTGGCAATCCATCTTGTGAATTAATCTTCTTCTGAAAAATCCATGACTGAGCAATAGACAGTGAGAATTAGTTAAAAAAATAATTTAAGAAAATAAAAAGAAGAAATGATATAGAATGGTACCAAATCATTGCTAGAAGCACCATCATCCTCGACCTCATACGCCTTAGAGGTGGCGACATCAGGAGAAATGTTCGCATCCTTCTTGTTTAAAATATAATTTATTTGTGCCTCCAATTTTGCAATCTGCTTTCGTAAGTCAGAATCATATACTCGCACTCTAGCTTCCACCTTAGCTTCAATAGTAGCCTCTAATGACTCAGCTACACTAACATCGATGCCTTCTATTTTGGCAGTGAGGATTTTAATCGACTCAACTAACCCATGTATGGCAACGTTGTAAGCTTGAAGCTTCATATGCATAGACAAAACAAAACCATATCAGTTAAAAAAAAATTCTATAACTAACTATCAGGAACATTTTATACATACCATATCAGGTGCTTCACCTCCATCAGCTGCTTGTTTGTCTTTTCTTTGATTAGTAGAAGGGCTCTGGTTTGGAACAACAGTTACAAAACAAAACCATGTTAGTTAAAAAAAAAATATCGATCACTAACTACATGAAGATTTTGTACATACCTTATCAGGTGCTTCTCCTCCATCAGCAGGTTGTTTTTCTTTTCTTCGCTTAGTAGAAGGGCTCTGGTTTGGAACAACAGATGCGGCAACACCATATTTTATCTTCTCGCATTTGGTAGTTGGCGATGCATCCCAAAACTTCTCATGTAGCTGACCATTGAGGATGTCTTTTATCATGTTGTCCAGATCAGTAGAGATGTTGGCATTGTCCCACTTCGGATATATATCCTCCGCCGGGTTCATAATCATATGCCTCACACGAACCTGCAAAGTAATATACAAGATTAGTAAGACAAACAAAAAATTAAATGTAAGAAACAGTTCATATGGTCATACCTCCTGATACTTTCTTTTTTCTTGGGCACAAAAGTCTTCGAAGTTAACACGCGCACGAGATCCGCCCCATGACAGAAGAGGAACATCAGCTCCCTTTATTCGATTCCCATGTATTTCTCCTAAGCCATGGACAGACTCATAAATCCATATTTGGAGCACATGAATACAGCTGTGAAGTGTATAACTCTGCTTTCCATCATATCCGAGTACTTTGATGGAGTCAACAAGGCTGCTAAATCCAACACGACCCCATGGATATCGCTGGAAAGCTGCAGTGTCCATCACTCTTTTAGCACAATGCAAAGGAATTCTGCTGTTGCTTGAAACACCAAATATACCAATGGATAGCAGACACAACAAACCAATCATCACTCGCTTCTCTCGAGGCCAGTTTCTGGCAACAGGGAATATGTCTTGCAACTCTTGCAATGTAGGTCCATCTGATGTCGGAATGTTCATCTCCCGCCAAAACTCTTGATGATCCACATCCGAAACATCATCCTTGTCGAAAGGATCACAATTAAGACCTGTAGTCTCTCCAAACTCATACAAGCTGAAACGCAATGTCATACAATCTATCAAAGACCAAAGCTCATGAATGCTCTCGATTGCCAATTGATTGAAAAGGAAATGGTGAACAAGTTTCGCAGACCAAATATACTTGACCTCTTTCAGCTTCACAATAACTCCAATAGCTGATTCCCTCAACTCAGACCAAACATCTTCCCCAAGTTCTTCTCTGACGTTTTGAATGTTGGAGAGATGAAAATTATGGTTCATGCTCCTATTCTGAAGTGGGGTTTTTACAACCTCAAACAGACGATGAGGATACTTTGTTGTTCCTGAAGACTCCATACCTGAAAAAAAAAGAATTTGACAAGTTTGAGTTTCCATATCTCTGTTTGAGTTTTCGAAACAAAATGCATCCAGCTTTACTTGCATTGAACTATAAAATTAGGGTTTTCGAAGTTACAAAAAAAAAGGGATTGATTTCGCAAAAGAAAATTAGGAGTTTTCGAAATTGGGGTTTTCGAAATTAAACATCTCAATCGAACAATATATGTTAAAAACGTGTAATAACTACTGGGAATTGAATTGATTTAGCACTTACAGATGAAATTGAGATTAGGGTTCGAGGATGGAGACTTGAGGAGAAGGTGTCGACGGCGGCTGTGACGGCGGAGTTGTTATCGGAGTGGGATAAGGAAGACGGCAGCTGAGACGGAGGAGTTGTTATTGGAGAGGTCGAGGAAGACGGCGGATGTTGATCGGAGATTCTTCAACTCTTTCGTCTAAGAGGGAGATGGTGTCGATGGAGGCTGTGACGGAGGAGATATCGACGGCGGGTGAGACGAAGGAGATATCGACGGTGGGTGAGACGAAGGAGATATCGACGGCGGTAGAGACGGACGGTGGCTCTTGATTGGAGATTCTTCACCGGAGATTCTTCACCTCTGTCATTTGAGATGGAGATGTCGTGAGAGAGAAAGAACAAGTCCGGTTATGCTTTGTTTTTTTTGTCGGTTTTTTTTTAATTTCTTTATGATAATTTTGTAGTTAATTATTAAGAGAAATGTCCTTTTAGTAATTTCTCTTAGACCTCATTGTAGTCTAGTAACTAAAATTAAATATGAGTTAGTCTAGTAATTTGTAGATGATTTAGAGTTAGTCTAGGTAATTTCTCTTTGGATAATATTTTTAATAATTACGGAGATCCAATATTTTTAAATCCAACCCGAACACTGAACTGTAGATTTTCTACTAGATTACTGAATCGACAGCAAACAAACCATGAATTAATACATTAATTAATTTTAATTTTAATACATAAGTATGTATTAGCTATTAATCAATGGTTTGTCCGCGGTTGACCCAGTAACATAGTGACCTAGAAAATTTATTGTTCAATGTCCGGGTTGGATTTAAAACATTGGTTAAAACCAAAATATAAACACCTTTGGGCCATATAATGATAATCGATATACGTTTTGAACCCTTTAATTTGGAAAGAAATTATACTTATAGTCTTCAAAATTGGCCCATTAATGAAAACATTAAAGTTTGATTTAATAAATATTAAGCCCAAACAAAAGAACGAAAGTCAAGTTCAACCGCACCGCAGTAGAAATCAAAGGATACAAACAGAAACACAATTTCACTTATCTTATAAAATATTTCAGATTTTATTTGAAAACAAAGCACGGAATTGGAGTTCAACCATATCACAAAAAGATAAATTAAAGTTATTTACAATGGTTGGTTTTACTTTTAAAATTTCACTTTTTCAGAATGAAGAAAAAAGTGAATTAATATTTACTTCGATGGTTTATTTCATGTTTTTAATAAAATAAATATTCCAAATATAGAAAAGTTGTTTAAAATACCACATTCATGATATCACTTTCCATGTTTATTTTAACAAATTTTATTCTCAATTTTAAGGAGATAAAATGACACATATACCACATTCGTAATATAACTTTTAATAAGGTAAAATAACACTTATAAATATATAAATAAATATTTAAAATCATTTGAAATTTATAAAAATAGTTCCAAAAAAACTTTAAAAGTTCAAAAAGAAAATTCAAAAAACCATTATAAAAAGTTCAACACTACAAGAAAACAAATATTTAACGAGAGCCGTTTTCGTAGTTATTTTCTCGTAAATAAGGCTTTACGAGGAAATAACCATGAAACAGAAAACGTCGTGACACGTTTGTCGTAACACATATTTTCTCGCTATAATCTCGTAACTTTACGAGGAAATATTTCCTCGTGAAACCGGGCCTACGTTTCCTCGTAAAAGACATACTAAATATTCCACGTGATTTACACGCTAAGTGTTTCCTCATTTAAACATGTAAACATTTCCTCGTAAAGTCGTAGTTGATTTCATTGTTAATCACACGTAAATGTTTCCTCGTAAAGACCACGCTAACTTTCGTTGTTAATTCCACGAAAAATTAACGACGAATTTACTTGGAAATTTATTTCTTCTGTATTGATAAACATAAATTATTTTTTTTAAAACAAAATTAAAAATAATAGACAAAAATGAAGATATTTTATAAATATTTAAGTTTTATATTTATATTACAACAAAAATAAATAAAAAGAGCTAGGGGTGGCAGTTCTCGGAGTCCTCGTTTCTTATGTCCGTCTCGTCCTGGCGGTCGGGGTCTGGAATGCCCAATTGTCTCCATCTAGCTGCTAACATCATCTCCAATTGCGGATTTCCAGCCGCTAGAACATCCTGGAAACCCTCGAGTGATCCCATTTGAGCTTGCGTCGTGCTCAAATCATAACGCGTCGTGTTCAACTCCGAACACAGCTGAGCCGTCTCATCTTCCTGTCGCTGAGCATATAAGCCAATGTCGCTCTTGGGACATCGTTAACAGAACCGATCACCAATCTACGTCCCTTTTCTTAGGAACGACCTTTTAAAAAAATAACAATTAAAGTTAGATAATAATAAAAAATAGATATTAAATGAATAATATGACGGGTATTATTGGACCCAACTTCAGTATCTAGCTAAACAGGCCCAAGCCCATCTGGAGTAATCACTAACTCGACATCGAGCCAGACTTTGACGAGGTCGAAGACGAGATTCCAGAGATCGCGGAGACGGTTAAAGGACGAAGGGGTTATAAAAAGAGAGCTAGGATGATAATCAAAACACATGAGAAAAATCCTAGAGCAATTTACTAATTATATCAACCTCATTTCTTAGATTTCTAGTTCGCTTTCTTGTACTCTTTTTTTTTTATTTCCGATCTTGTTCATCACCTTGTAAACGAATTCTACATTCAATAAAAGCCCATTTTTGTAAAGTCCAATTATATCGTTGTGTTTAAGAGCATCGTTGCCTACATCCTTTGTCTTCCCCTGATTGAACTCTCGATCTCTAAAAAATACTGAGTGTGGATTTTAGGATCTACATTTTGGCGTCGACTGTGGGGAAGATAAACGCAAAACACCCTTGCTAAGAACCCGATATAGGATTTCTAAGCATGATTATGGATCCCAATGTGAAAAACTTTGACATAGTCCGATCTGGATCGACCGACACCGCTCCCACCGGAAACCCTCTAGGAGCCGCCCCGGCGTGCATCGATCAAACAAACGTCGCCCCAAACGGAAATCCTCTGGGAACCGTTCCGGTACCCGTTGACCGGGTAAATGTCACCGGGACCACCAACATGACCCATAATCAGACTCCACCAATCGAAACCTCGATCGCCGAGAGGAGTATGATCTCAGATCGAAACCCTCCTAATCACCGAACCGGATCTCGAGTGTCGAACCGTACAACGAACAGAACAATTCTCGACGATCCAACCAGAGCAGCGAGACCAAGATCCACGACTCCATTAGCTCGATCTCGAAACGAGATGGCAGAAATGAGAACGATGCTCGTCACGCTTATCGGCAGATCACGCGAACAAGAGATCGGTCATCGAACCATTGCCAGTCGTCTAGAATAGACCGAGAGAGAACTCGCTGAGAGCCGAACAAATACAAGGGAAAGAATCTGACAGCACTTGGATCCAACCTTCCAAACGCCACTACCTCAAAACCGTGGAGCCTTCGCCTCCCTTGAAGCGGTCAGCACCCGATTGGGCCGTTATGCCAGAGAGAGCTCGCAGCAGGCCTTACCAGAAGGAATGATCTATCAAAGCCTAGACTACGATGGTCAAGGGGAGGTCGAAAATGGAACACAGTGTACCAGAACGACCCGATCTCAACTCGGAATAGACCAGCAGTAACGGTCCCATGGCAACATCAAACTCGAGATGAAACGATTCTCGTTTGGGAGTGACGAATTCCAGCGAACGGGACCCACAATCAATCCAGATCCCGCCTTGGCGTACGACCCATTCAGATCGATGCACGAGAACCTTCAAGAG